GTAGTAAAAAATGTAGACCATATGTGTAAGTCAAGGAAAAAGGATTTTTTTTTAAGGATGCTTATGTACTTACTATCAAGCCGAAAAAGTAAAATTAGCATTTTTCAAGCCGTATAGGCTCCATTTCTAGTTGTAGCCCCTGTTTTTTTTCCACAAAAATATCCCTACAGAATATAATGATTAATTTTACTTGCTTTTTTACTTTATACACATGGTCATGAATCTATATAACATTCTGCAAATCTTTTGTTGTTGTTGTTGAACATTATGCTGAAAGTTATGATGAGGTTGACTTTACTGCAGCCATTATGAATAATGTTTTGGTGTACATTGGTGTGTTTCTAGAGAGCGTACACACAGAAGTGAACTTATTAGGCCAAGGAATTTACACATCTTCCACATTACAGGATACCAAATTGTCTTAACAAAAATAATTGTATGAGTTTTCCTTTTTTTCCTACATGTTCGCAATCATATGAAATCACCTTTGCCAGTCGCTTTATTTTTATTAATAACATTGAATATTCATTTGTGTTCACTAATCTTTGGGTTTCCTCTTTTAAAAACTAATTGTTTATGCTTTTTGTCCATTTAGTTGTGTTTTTTTTAAATTATTATTCACTTGAGTTCTTATGTATATTCTGGATAGAAACCTTTTTTCTTAATTATAGGAGCTACAAATATCTTCTATCAATTTTTGGCTTCTCTTTCTAAGTTCTTAATGTCTTTTGAAGATCAGATTTTCTTAATGTTACTGTGGTCAAATTTATCAAACTCTTCATATGATTTGGAATTCTGCATCTTAAGAAACCATATACTAAACATTCTCCTACATATTCTTCTAAAAGGTTTAAATATAGCCTTTCATATTTGAATCTGTTATCCATTTGGAATCTATTTCATGAAAGCTGTGAGATCGGGTCCCATTTCATTTCTCTCTATATGAATGGTTACTTTTCCTAGCACCATTTGCTAGTCTACCCTTTCTCCACTAATGTGCAGTGTCAGCTCTGAATTATTCTCAGATGGGCATACGTGGGTCAGTCTGTTTCTGGACTCTACTCTGTTGCACTGGTCTACTTGTCGATTGCTGAGACTACACCTCAGTCTCAATCATTATTCCTTTCCAGTGAATCCTGGCATCTGAAAGAACAAGTTCCCTGACATGTATTTCTTCAGGAGTATCTTGACTACCCTGGGCCAAGTGTTGTTCCATATATGTTTTAGAAACAACCTGTCAAGTTCTAAAATGATAATGATGATAAAGATCCCATTTAAATTCTAATCAAAACTGTGTGGAATATACTAGTATAAATCAATTTGGCATAATGGCATTTTTTATAATTTCCTTCCTCTTCTGACTTATATAGATAGGTCTTCTTGAATGTCTTTCCATAGGTCTTGAGATATCTTGTAAATAATTGGTATCTTGTAAAAAAAAATCAGAGATGCTTCGGCTACAATGACAACACATGACCCAGCTCCTGTTTTGCCTCAATACTGTCAGTGGGTCACAATGTTACAGATTTAAGTATAAACTCTTATTCAGGTATTGAAAGCCTCCAGTTACTCTAAGAATACCCTATGGCACAGCATTAACATAAGGTCCCACCTTAAACATAAAGTCTATAAATCAGGAAAGTATTATTCTATTTTTATTCATTTTTCTCTTTTCTTCAAACTCTCATCTCTTAAAATATATTTATCTGTTTATATCAAACCCTTTATTATCTTCCTCACCCTTGGTCCCAGCCATCCTACAAATCATAAACCTTTTTGCACACTGAACAGGCCCGAACACTGCTCTTTCTGCCTTGTAGCCACCCTTCCTCTTACAAGTGAGTGTGCTTCCAGGCTTCTAGCATTCCAAGTAACTTTTTTAAAGGTGTGGTACTCACTTCTGACCCCTCACAATAGGATAATCATAATCCGTTTTCATCTAATTGCTACTAAATGAAGTATCACTCCTTGTCTTTCTTTCAGTATCCCTACGGAATATGCATACTTTTTCTTGAACAAACAGCCTTTAAAATACTTGAAGCTGAAAATGGTATAATCATAAAAATCCTGGAATATCTAGAAACTTAGGAAGAGCTGCTGTTTAGGTGACTTTTTTAGGGAATCTAATCCAACTAAGACTCTTAACCGTTTCTCCTACCAGGATCTTTCTAACATGCCTGTTCTCTGCATTTAGTCTGATGCTGACATAACTAGCTGGGCAGCCACGGGCGTTATCAGGTCACTTCAGGGCACTTGGATACAATGTCGAGAATTCTATAAACCAGAGTCATCTGTAGACATGAAACATGGCAGTAGGGAAAAATTATTTTTCACATCTTGGAACACGTGTAAAATTATATTTGTCCAGTACAGGACCACACACTCAAAGGGATTTAGGGTTTGTTATGGCTTTGATAAAAAAAATAATTGCTATATTTGCTTTATATATTATAAGAAAGAAGCATTCAAGTATATTAAGTAATATCTGTTCTATCAAAAATTTAATGAGATATCTGAGTGGCTTAGTTTATAGAGAGAACCAAACAAATGATGGTCAGTTATAACTTTAATGGGGTAAACTTGTGCATGGCTGGAAAAAAGGTTTTGTCAATAACTCAATATCGAGAGCCACATAATGAACCCATCCCAGCTGGGGAGCTCTGTCCTACAAGAACATGTGCGCATGCGAAGAAATGGCGGCTTATCTGCTCTTCCTTCCCTCTTTCCTTTCTGACTCCTTCACTCTCCCCTTCCTTTCTCCCTTCACTATTGCATCCTAACATTGTTTTCACTGACCTACAATTGATAATCCTTTTGCTTCAATGAGCCGCCTGGCGGCCTGAATACATGCTATAATCAACTCATTCCATCAGTGAAACATTCAGTGCTTAGAAAGCAACTCAGAACTGGACAGTCCCCAAGAGGCAGGAGGCAGAGCACTGCATCTGAGGGGCAGGAGCTGGGGAACTGGCTGCAGGCACTGGACCCCTCCTGTTGCAAAAATGTGTTTATTGGAGGGATCCTTAAACGCAGAATGGCCCGAGTTTGGTCCACATTTCACTTCCTTTTCTAAACCTCTAGGAAGTGGTTCAGCGTTCCCTAGCAACAGAAGCAAAGGATCAATTTAGAAAAGTGCTTTCCAGAGCATTCCTATCTAGTTTCTGACCAAGCCATTTAGTTTGAAATTCTAGGAGATTTATCACCGACTGTCCTCAGCAGCAACACTGGAGGAGCACCTCTTGATATGTATACTACTAACATCGGAGATGACAGATTCCACCTCTGCTGCACAAGCAGGGATGCGTTTCTGCAAGAATTAGTAGTCCCTGCATCTCACTGTGAACTGACACTGTTGCTAGGGAAACTGATAATTATGTGGCAAAATGGAGGGTATAGAGGGAAGGAGGGTTCAGAAGAAATGTGAGGTTTTGCTCTAAATCAGGATGTTAATAGTACAGTTTGTTGATCTTCTGCAGTCATATAATTTAATAAATACTATTAATTATATGTTTGACAAGATGCAGATTTCTGAACCGAGAAAAACGAACAGAGGTGAGTCGGAGTCTGGAGAACTGCTGGTCACAGGTCATACCTTGTTCACACCATTCCGGGACACGTATTTATTATAAGTGCAATTGCTTTTAGGAATTACCATGTTCCAAAACATGTTGATTTCTGACATTTTATTTTAGAAATCAATCTTGCAGAGTCCCAGACATAAACAGTGTAATTCTCTAAAAGCTCTAAAGAACTGCCTTCTGTCACTTCACAAAGTCATACAGCCTCACAGTACCCCCTATGTGGGGAAGAAGGAAATGTTACTATTTATATATAAAAGACACTGAAACCCACCCCACTGAGTTGAATGACCTTAAGGAAGTCACACGGCTCTTCAGTGAATGGTAATGCTGGAGCTAAATACTCACATTTAAACTGCCCGGGAGGCACTATGTACAGATTACATCTTATTAAGGGGAAACCCAGAAAAAGGATATAAGCTCAGTGAATGGACTCAAGTCTCAGGCTACCACTTCAGTTTTAAATGAGGATTTCTAATACTTTTCATTTTTAATGGCTAAGAGTTTAGTTCTACAAGTTAACAATATGATCTAAACACTTGCTTATAAAAAAGAAATCTCATGGGGGCGTTTTACTACACAAGAAAGACCATCTAAGAGTCAATCAGCCGTCGGGAGACAGCATTACTGCGGGTGCAATCCCTGCCTGCAATCGCCGGCTCCCTCATGACATTGCTGCTGTATATTCTCTTAGTCCCCTTTCCCCTAGGGGTTTCTGGGGAGCTGTTTAAGTTTTATATCCCCCTGTGTATTTATAAGTATGAATTTGTATGTATTTTTTTAATCTATGAATATGCTATAGATATTAAGACATTCCTTTACATTCATATACACACAAATTATGTATAGGTGTGTATGTGTGCAAGAAAAATCAGTGATTTATTTATGGTTGGTATATGAAAGAAGACAACCCTTTATATAGAAAATGTTTCCAGTATTTTGGTCCCATTAATTGGTCTTAAACAGAATAAAAGAATGAGAATTATATATCAGACAGCAAGAGAAGAGCACAAAACTTATGTAGAACCGCTTAACAAATTCCAAGAGCTGGAAGTAGTTATAAAAAAGATTGTTACTCTAGTGATTTAAAAATTTCAAACCTTCCTCATTAATAGATAAGTAGTGTAGCTCACTGGAAATAAACTATCACTTCAAGGCAATTTATTAAGTCTATCAATGTTACGATGGTTTTAAAATAATACTTGGGCTTGCGTAAGTTGGGATTTTGTTTCTTACCATTAAAGCATTTACTTTTGATAAGACAAGTGCTAAAGGATAAGTCCCTATTTTGCTAAACCTTTTCTCCTTTCCCACGGCAGAAAGGCATTTTTAACATCTAAATCCCTGGGTAAGAAAAAGAATGTAAAGCTGAAGGTCACAGTCATGACAAACAGCGTTTGTCTGCACAAGGGTTAGACGAACCTTGACTCAGGCCATCTGGACAGGACATCTGCTTCACATCCACGTTCTCCATGGTGTCTCCCTGAGAGACTTCTCCGAGAGATGTTCTCCTCTCGAAGATGTTGTTGTTGTTGTTCACTTGAGTCCCGTTTTGCTTCAGCAGCCTGAACACCTCAACCTCCAAATCTCTGATCTGAGAGAGGGAGAAAAAAAAAAAAATCCATTTCTAAACCTCGAACCCAGCACTCCTCCCCCAGTACTGGGCAAAACTACCCTGTTGTTTTCACGGCTTCGGCACTCACTCACCCGCACTTGCAGGCCTTGAACTTCCACAACATGAGCTTTTTCCAAATCTTCTATTTTCTTCCTCTCTGCTTCCTGTCTCTTGATGAAATCAAGTTCTCTGAAGAAGAAAATAACAGCTTTGATTGCATCAAACACTCCAGAAACGAGGAACCTTGTGAACGTGATTGTTAGAATCAGTAAACGACACCGTGGGATAAATAACTGGACAGCTATTTACGTAAATAAAATTAAATCATAATTAAAGAAAATGTACAGAGCAATGAAAGCAAGTAAAACATTTTAATGCAGCACAAAATAAAGAAAAATGTCTTGATTCTGCTTACTATGATTTTCATTCACAGCTCCTGATTCAAGAGCACCCGTACGTTCTAGAGCTAATAAACCAAGGATCCACCTTGAGTAATTTAGTGGAAATAATTACATGTCAGGTGGTGTCACTATTAGCCTTGAAAAAAAATTACATTTACAGAGTAATATATCTAAGCAAACTGGTGAAACTGAATAGTCAAAGAAAATTATAGTGAGATTGATTCCTATGAATGACGGTGGAAAAGGTCTGGATGGGTCATAAAAACAGGTGGGTTTGTCATTTTTTCCCCTGATGACAATAACAGGGGGAGGAGAAGCAGCTCCATTTTGAGAGCCTGAATTATAATATGCAAATTTATCAAAACTTACAAAATTGTTAGATGACAGAGTTACATTTTTGGCAAGAAAAGTGAAAATAGTAATGTACTAAATTCACCGTTACAAAGAGCAATCCCCACCTTTTAAACAGTATACTTTTTTACAGCATTTTCTTTTAAATATTGAAAACAGTATTTCCACGATAGGAAGTAACTGAGATGTGGTGAATCTTACATCTACTAGTATGCTTAGCTTCCGAGGCTTGGCACATGGAAAGCCAGAAGAGGGCCTGGCATTCCTTTTGAATTGTTCTAGCCTGGCTGGCAGTAACTGATGAAAAAAAAAAAAAAATCCAGTACAAATCTCGTCCGTCTCCCTGAAATTACACTGAGATCCAACAGATGGAAGCAGAGCAGCGTCCGCTGCTGTTACATTCAAGAGCAGACTGCGGTGCGGGTCTCTCACTGCAGGGAAGTGGCTGGGCAGGGGGTCAGCGGGGGAATCCTGCTGTTACTGAGTCTGAGAACGGGGCGGAAACAGCCCCGGCAGGGCCCCGTGGCTGCTCTGCAAGCACCACGGCCAAGGGGCCTGCCTGAAGTCAGCCAGGCTTCCTGCTTCTGAGCTACAGGGATGTTTTAAGAAGAGCAGAGATTTCAAATGTTTTAACAGTAACTATTAATGATTACCGATCAAAGAAACTACTTCATGGTATAACTGGCTGCCAAAAAAAAAAAAAAAAAAAAAAAAAAAAAAAGGATTAAATAAAGTATAATCTCCTAAAAAGAAAAAAGATAAAATTATTTTCCAAAACGTATGTATACATCTGCTCTAACTATGCTTCTTAGAGGGAAAAGTCTGAGGTCCTCTTTTTTGTCCCATTAGGCACCACAGGATTATTGGATTTAAACCTGTTTTACAGGCACACTGTTTTTCAGTCAGCAGAGGTGCTTACTTCTGCTGAAAGTCCTTGATCAGTTTCTTTGCCTTGTTGTATTTCTTTTCCAAGGCCTGATACTGGCTTTGGGTCTCTTTGAGGTGCTCGTTTACTGTGTGGCACAGGGTCTGAGCCTCGATCCAGTAGCTCTCCAACTTCAACATTCTTTCTTTGTTCTCTTCTATATTCTGTTGGAGTTGGTTTTTTTCTAGTTCCCACCTCACTTTCTCATTTTCTGCTGCCTGCAGCTGGATTAAAAAAAAAAAAAAAAAGTCAAGATAAAAGATAATCTGGGTACTTCTGTACCAACCCTCCCCCCCCACACCCACACATTTTAATAGCATGGTTTTGATTAAATTCAACTGTTAGATATACTCAATCACCAAACACCTTGGGATGAGAAGCGAAAGCATTATTTTCATTCTTTTATAGATTATAAAATGGAAGCCTTGGAAAGTGAAATGCTCTGTCCAAGGCCGCGCATCTGATAAATGACAAAACATGTGGTTGACTCCAATTCCCATTATCTTCCCGTCACTGACTGCGGTCTGAAATTCTGCGAGCAGTAAAAAAAAATGTCTTAGACTTTGACTATGTCTAGTCAGTGAATTTCAGCAGGTTTTCCTTTTGATATTTTAAAAAAAACATAGAACGTGTTAAAATGTAAATGAAAAGGAAAAAGGGGCAGAAGCACGGTGTGGCCTGTTGGCTGGCGGGGAGGGGAGCTCTGGAGTGGTTTAGATGTGAACCCAGCTGCACAATTAGCCTTTAAAAAATTAACTAAAAATTTTCAATTACAGGTTAGAGATTTTTTAAATGTAATTTTTTATGTAATTTTATAATAAGTAAAAAAGGGGAGGGAGGGGAGACAAGCAGGAAAGGAGAAAGGGGCAGAAGCACAGTGTGGCCTGTTAGTTGGCAGGAAGGGGGCGCTCTGGAATCATTACATTTAGATTTGAGTCCTAGACCAGCCACTACCAGCCTTTTCCCCCCCATTTTATTTCTTTTTAAAAAGTTAATTACTTTTTTCAGTTACAGTTTACTGAACTGAAAAAAAAAATTCAATATTATTCTCTTTTCGTTTCAGAAGCATAGCAAAGTGGTTAGCAGTTTTTTACAAGTGCGCCCCTCCCCCGTGCCTCAGGCAGCCACCTGGCCGCCAGGCACAGCCAGCACCGGGCCTTTAAATCTTGGGTGAGTGACTCAAGTTCTCTAACTAGCATGTGCGTGGTGCAGCTTCTGGCGCATAATAATGATCTGATAAATGTCAGTTATTTTCATTTTGTTTTTATCCCTTTTGCTGATATTATTACATCCTCTATTTCAATTGACATGAACACAGTTTTTAGCTAATTATTTTGCTGGCAGTGTTCAGAGCTTTATAAGCCCTAATCTGCAGGAAAGTATAAAAGATAATGTAAGTAAAAATATAAATAATTGTTGAATTTAGATCCCTCCAGTGGAACTGAAAGGCAGCTTCTTTTTTCTGCCTCGGGGGACGGTTAGGAATGGATAATAGCATTCCCACCCCCTCATTTCTACAGAAACGCAAGGCTGATCCTTTAGGTGAGGGGTCCAAGGTCATTTATTCACAATAACTATCTGACCTTTAAACAGGTTTCATCTATTTCACACACCTCCTTTAAAGTTCAAAAGCATGCAAAGTCATTATAAATCATTTTCAAAATCCAAGACTTTCCAAAACCATACAGCATTCGGAAAATTTAAAAATGTCATATATATTTTAAACTAAATATATTGGCAAAACAGATCACAAAGTAAAAAGTAGTAAACATTTTTTTTTTCAAAATTAGGTATTGTGTTATCAACAGAGGCATTAAGAATCATAGTAAAGTGAGCTAATCTGTGGATATTATATGCCAATATAATGAGAAAAATATAAAAAAACCCCTAATATATAGGATTTTCTAAATTCAATGTTTATAGTCTAAAACAGAAGCTTTGTTAAAGCACATAAAATCACAGGGGAATCTTTTCCCTAATTGTAACCGACAATTAAAAAAAACAAACACTTCTATTGTTCCATTCTATGTCAAGAAACAATAGCAGCTTAAAACAGGGCTGGGATTTTACTGCATCTTTTATTAAGCAATGTTTTACACTCAAGTTGTTTATTTACCAACCATCACTAATTTAAAAATTATAATTCACAGAGCTTGGCTGATACCATGAATGATGTATAGGCATGTTTTGACTAAAGAGCTACAGAGTTATTAGCTGGGAATACCATTTAACCAAAATAGCCTTGCTAATTAATCTCCATTTAAAACACATGGAAAAGCCAAAACAAGCCTTCAATGTGAACAGAAAAACTGATTGTTAATGGTGGAGGAGGAATTAGGTCTTAATTTTAAAAATACCATAAATACAATAAAGAATATTGTTTTTAAAGTAATTCAAAAGGTATTTTTAAATCTCTGAAACTACATTTTTGATGAAACTAGACACAATTCTAGGAATGTACAACTGCCTTACAACTTACCAACTAAAAAAAATGTCTTTTGAGTCTTATAAATGAACTAAAAAAAATACATAAAACCTTTCATCATGACCTGTTTCCCCCCACAAACTTAAATAATGTGAACTAAATGACTAAAAATTTCCAGAAGCATCTGGCACCTACAAGCAACTATTCATATGTCATATTAAATTTCATGATATTTTATTATTAGAAATTGGATTTTTTTTCTATGCAAAACTAATGTGCTGTGTTAAAAACACATTGTTTCTGAGGAATAAGTGAAAAATAAATGATTAAACCTATCTACAATAAATCTACCTAAATTTTTTAAAAAAATAATAAAATAAAGAGATACAATATAACAATTTGTGCATTAAGGAATTAGTGATCAAAATGTAATTGAGATTCATGAATCATTAAAAATATTCACTTTTGGGGGAAAGCTCCGAGGAAACTACATATGCGTAAATATGTATTTTAAAAATGTAGTGCAATTCTCTCTGAGGGGGGCCGAAGCCCCCCCCCCCCCCCCCCCCCGTGGTGCAACTCATAAGGCCAGATTCATCCATGCATCTGACCGTGGACATGAACCTGTGACAGTTGTATGCTTTCAGAGACGGGAACAAATCCTTTAGTCCCACGGCTGAATTTATTCATAGCCTCCGAAGTTTAAAAAGTATAATTCAAACTCCATGTATTGACTGATGCGCTTACCTTGGTCTTCAATTTTTGAATCTCTGCTTCTGTAACTGCGTGTTTGATTTGCAACTGAAAATTGAAAAGAAAGAAATATCGTAACTAAGAAAGTCTATATTTCCCAAGTCTCGCCAACCAGAAGGATACCTAGAAAAGTGCTTCCAGGCAGCAGGTTGTAAATTAAAATGCCCCTTGTGAAAAACGACTGACTGGGTGCAAACTAATGATACGCAGGGTCTGTGGCCCACACTCCCTAACAGAGGATTAAGATACGAATTTAACTGATCAGGGACCAAAGGGAAGGAAACACATTTGCTTGCTCCCTTCGCAGCTCTTCCTTAGGATTTGAATGCCACGCAATGGTTTCCTTGCAGTCCCGGGACTGAAAAGCCTAAGCTGGGAAGCCAGCCGGGGCTGTATGTAGGTGCCGTTCCGAAGCTGGCGGACAGGTGGCGCTGTGGTACCGCGAGTCACTAGGCCGAGCAGCTGTTTTGCTGCAAAGGGTGAGCCGAGGATGATGCAGATCTACAGCGAAATCGGTGTTTATTTTTTAATTGCAGGAAAGGTACAGATCTACATTTCTGCCCTCCAAAATACCTACTTCTGTTGAAAACCGGGGCTTCAAAAACTTCGGTTACAGTTTATTACCACGAGAGACCCTGCATTTACATTTGTTTTGCTTCTCCCCCACCCCATACCCCCCACCTTTTTTTTTTTTTTTTTCCTTTTCTCTGTGAAGGAAGAAAACAACCTACTCATTTCCTCCAGGGATAAATACACCAACATTTACAGAAAAACAATATGTGGGCTGATAACCTCCTCTCTCAGATCCTTGGGGCCAAATGCGTTTGGAATTCAGCATTCTTCCAATTTCAGAAAGGTAGAAAGAGGCATTTTCCCACCAATCGCTATTACCCACAGCAGGTCCTGTGGAGGCACTCTGTAATCAAACCCACGAATATATACATATATATACATATATATTTGCGTATGACTATTTCCACTAAGTGCGGGAAATAGAAATTGTAAATAATATCCTGCCGGCTTGAGTCATGTTTCTCCCAAAGGCGTCTGCCACGGAAAGTATTTTAGAAATCTGTTTTCAGACCGTACGATTGAACAAAAGGGACTGCGAGCTTCTAATGTCACTGTAATCAAATAAGCCTACGGTTTTCTTATCAGAAAGTCTGATGGGAGGACAGAAACTCGAACCTCTGGAGATGACGACGCCTCGGAAACCTCAGCTCTCTCTTTAGTTTGTAACCTGCATTTTCTTGATTCTGACCTGGCCACTAAAGGCATATGGGAAGCATGAAGAGGGAAAGAAGTCAGAACCAGGCACAGGTTGATTTAATATCCCTAAGTGCCAAAGGATAAAAGCGCAGACCCTGAGAGCCCAGAGCCCCCAGCAGAGAGCTCCGGCCTGGGCGCTGTCGGAGCCCCTGCTGGGTTGAAAGGCCTGGGGTCTGCACGGCCTCAGGGCTCACTGCTCCCGGTCTCCTCCCGACCTGAGGGGTGACCTGGACAGCTGTTTGCATTTGGTCCTGCCCCAGGCACATCACTTATCTTCCTCTCCAGCTTGAGGACCTGGCCACTCCTGGGGCTCTTGTGCTTTTCACCCTCCCTGGCTCCCCTGGGCCTCTGCACGCGACCAGTTTCCAGAGGTGAAGCACTCTCCCCTGATGAAACATCTGGGGCCCCGCCATGCCAGGCGCCCCGGCCTCACATACTCCAGGGTCCAAGTGGACACTCCAGCTGTGGGCCTTACAATGAGCACAGCCCTGCAGAATGCCCATCCTTGTGCTTCTGCGCTCATGTGAGATGCAAAACTAGGCTCCTGGCCAGACACTGACCCGGTCCAATGCTCACAGTGAATTCCTGTTAAAACCAGGGTTTGGAGCCTTGATCTTCTGGTGCCCGATACATTAGAGATAAATGCAACAGGCATTTATGGAAGAACTGTTATGTGCAAGGTGATGTGAAAATAACTCTCCTTCTAATAAATACCACTGTTAATCAACCCTACCAATATGAATCAATGAACTAAAAATGGCTAAAGTGCTTCAATGTTAGACATGATACATTATTTATGCATAAACAAATATATCCGCGCACGCACACATTCACACGGATATGGCTATAAGGAATTATTTTCCGTGGAGACCTTGCACTTCAGGGTGCACACATTTGGGCGCCCACCTAATCCACGTGCCTAACTGGAGTGTGTGCGATTATGATTGACAAGAGCAAGGCCTTGCTCTTTCTACCACATGCCAAGTGTGAAGAGTGCAGCAGGTCCATTTCACTGTGGACGGTTGTTTCACTATAATAGTGATGAGCTACCGAACTTAACTCATTTTTATCCATTAGTCACAGTTCTAGGAACCTGCCTACGATGTTAAACGAGGACGTACTGTAGTGGTTACATGGACTGAATTCACCTCGGGCCCATCAGGTAATGATGTTGGAAAATTATTTTAACCTCTCTGACCTTCATTTCCCCCATCTGCAAAATGAAGTTCCTCATAGGTCTTAGCTTCCTTATTGGAAGATTAAATGAGATAGCCCATGCAAAGCTTTTAGCACAGTTGTCAATAAGATAGTCAGTCCTCTATAAAGTTAGCCAAGATTAATCAAGAGTGATCAGAAGAGGTCAAATATGATTACCTCAATGGCACTTGTCAGTAAAAGGTGTTATTAATGCTGTAAAATGTCACATCTGAAATAAAACAGACCCCCTCTGGCTCTATCTGAAGGGCGGCAAGAGTGAAAAGGGCAGATCTTGGGAGGAACACAGCAGCAGTGGGCGAGTGCAGGTTTTATTTCCTCAGTGGTAATCCCTGTAGGAGAACCAGGTGCACTGCACGCAACGTGTCCAGACTTTGGATTTTCTCTGCTCAATTACTGTGGCCTCTAACAAGCTGCTTCTCTGGGCTGCAGCTTCCAATGAAAGATGAGGGGCTGGGTGTGAAGAACTCCAGCGCCCTTGCTAGTACCACAGGTGTGACCTTTATGAAATGGAGGGCCTGGAGATGGTTGTCATGGTTGCAGAGTCTAGAAATTCCTGTCCAAAACCAGCGTTTTCATTCCTGTGAAGGTACATGACAGATTAACCCACCGATGTGTGGGGTAAACTTAGACAACAGCCAAGTTAGTCTTCAGTTACCCCATCCCTCCTACCTCACCGAAATGGGTAACAGAAGAGAGCTGAACTCATTAGCAGAACCCTGATAAAAGTTTTGAGTGTTCCTAAATGCAGCCAAATGCTTTAGATACAAAAAAGCAGAATGAAGTAATTATTTAGAAGATGGACAAAAGTTTTGGTGTAAAGTATTCTTAGTACTGACAGGCCTAAAAATCATAGATATGCAATTATTTTAATCCTGTATGGACATTAAAAGAATTCTTACAAATTTATTACTATTAACAAGAAAACATCTATGCTAATAAAAGCCTAGGTGGTGTTTTGCCTTCGCATTGTCATAAGATGGCAACCATAAGATGGCTGCCCCCACATCATCACAAGATGGCTGCCACAAGATGGCTGGCAGGGGAGGGCAGTTGTGGGCAAACAGGCCAGCAGGAGAGGGCAGTTGTGGGCAACCAGGCCAGCAGGGGAGGGCAGTTGGGGGCAACCAGGCCAGCAGGGGAGGGCAGTTGGGAGTGACCAGGCCAGCAGGGGAAGGCAGTTGTGGGTGATTGGGCTGGCAGGGGAGCAGTTAGGCATTGATTGGGCCAGCAGGGGAGTGGTTAGGGGGTGTTCAAGCCGGCAGGTAGATGTGGTTAGGGGCAATAAGGCAGGCAGGCAGGCAGGTGAGCGGTTCGGAGCCAGCAGTTCCGGACTGTGAGAGGGATGTTCGATTGCTGGTTTAGGTCTGCAGGGATCATGTATAAACCTGCAGATGGACATCCCTTGAAGGGTCCCAGATTGGAGAGGGTAAAGTCTGGGCTGAGGGACACCTAGAAAAAAAATAAACTAACTGAACTCTTTCATTTTAAAGAGAAAGAAAGTGTGTTTTAGTAGCTTAAGTTATAGAGCTAACAAGTATCAAAGCCGGGTTTTATAAATTTCACTCCCTGGTTTTTTCCACGGGGACCCTTTATCTTTTTTATCATTTCCTTCAGCATTGCCCATGTGTTGGAGGAAAGCAAGACAGGCACTATTAATCACATTGTTCAGATGGGGAAAGGGGCTCAGAAATTACATGGCTTCTTCTAGCACCCAGATGTAGGTGGTGGAGTGGAAATTACCCCAGATCTGATGCTCCCGCCTGGGTTTCCCCCGTCCCCGTGCACCTAATCTGAACCAGTTCTCGGATACATTTTTTCATTTAAACTTCACAAAAACCCAGCAGCATCTGTCATGGCTGTCACCTCCAGATGAGAACGCATTTCTCTGACTGGAAACCATGGGTTACTCTGGTGGCCTCTGAGTATCCTGACACCGACTGCCAAGTGCTGCCCAAGCATCTGCATGCCAGGTTGGCACCAGACTTCTCCTTTACATCATGTAATGTCAGTCTGAAACAACGAAGCTTGTCCCACGACATTTCAGGAAATAAAAATATTAAACCCAGCTGATTATTTCTGTCATGATAATTAGACCATCCCATTCTCAGTATGGGAAAGTCATGAAAACTATAACCTCCACAAGCACTTAAACATTAAGATGTATTCTGAGAAATAAAAGATCTAGAACAGTGGTCGGCAAACTCATTAGTCAACAGAGCCAACTAGAAACAGTACAACGATTGAGGTTTCTTTTGAGAGCCAAATTTTTTAAACTTAAACTTCTTCTAACGCCACTTCTTCAAAATAGACTCGCCCAGGCTGTGGTATTTTGTGGAAGAGCCACACACCAGGGGCCAATGAGTTGTATGTGGCTCTTGGAGCCACAGTTTGCTGACCACGGATCTAGAACTTAAGAATTAATTAGGAAATTCTGGTATAAAGTGACCAAGAGGTGAAACTGAGTAAAACTAGGTGTTGTACGTATTTTATTAAGTTAATTGAAAACATCAGTTTTTAAAAATGTGACAACTAAATTTTAACAACAATCATGTCTTGGAAAC